CGCAAGCAGAGTAGCAAAATTGGGTTAAAGGCTTAGAATAGAAATTGTGCTTCAGTAATTTTGCGTTAATTAGGGTTAGAAATAGTTTTAAAATAATTGTACGCATTAAGGATTGTAAAATTAATCGCATGCGTTAACGCATTAACGATGACAGCCCTAATAATTATATAATGTTGTATTTGTTTACCCACCCTCTTGACAATAAACAGATTACAGGAAAAATATTAAATAGCCCACCTACATCCTGGAACCGTGCCGAATGAAGTTCAGATGAGGGGGGTGGAAAACAGGACAAAAAAATTGTCTATTATTTGGAATAATTATGTTTTTTTTTTTTTTTTGTAAGAAGTCTCTTATGCTCAGAAAGGCTGCATTTATTTGATCAAACACAGTGAAAACTGTAATATTGTGGAATATTACAATTTAAAATAACTTTTCTATTTGAATATATTTTAAAACGTAATTTATTGTGACCTGTGATGGAAAACTGAATTTTCAGCAGACATTACTCCAGTCTTCAGTGCCACATGATCCTTCAGAAATCATTCTGATATGCTGATTTTGTTGCTCAATTATTATCGGTGCTCAGTTATTATTAATGGTTATTATTATGCTGCCTATTTTTGTAGAATTTTTTCAGGATTCTTTCATTCTTTGTTTAATTTTTTAATTTTTTTTATTAACATTATAAATGTCTTTACTGTTACTTTTGGTCAATTTAATACATCCTTGCCAAACAAAAGTATTATTTTCTTTTCATGTTTTCCATAAAATATTAACTTTTGTTTGTTTGTGTGTGTGTGTGTGTGTGTGTGTGTGTGTGTGTGTGTGTGTGTGTTGTAGCCACCACACAAGATGAAAATGTAAGTGTGATGTTGCAAGCATGGAATACTAACCCACATCTAGTGACAGGGAATAATGCCTCCCTAACTCTCATTTACTTAAAGGTTTGTTTGCGCTCTGACTAAGGATGATTTCAGATGAAAGTGACGAGCTATGGCCTTTTATGGATTGCCTAGTTGCGTGATTAATGAACCACTTCAGTTAAAAAATTAGGCTTGCACTAAAAACTTTACCTGTCTGACCACAAATCCTAATTTACATTACCACACCTCAGGAATTTTTTTTTTATAATAAAATGTACAGTTTGCTTTGAAACCAGTTAATGTTTTAACTGGCTGGAAAGATGTTGCCGCCACTGTATGGCCAGATGAGACGCAAACTACGGTTTCTCGACTGGATAACCAGTCTCGCTAGTAAAGTTTTGATGGATAAAGACTGCAATCAAGGTAAAGACAATTGCGGTGGCGTACAGGAGTCGTACAGTAAGCACGCTGACAGTACTAATATATATATATATATATATATATATATATATATGAAAATGTTCTCGTATCTTGTTGTACTTGGGTCAGATATCAGAATTATGTGCTTCATAATGGTGTTGACATGCTTTGTGACATTTGACCTTTTTCTGTTATTCTTTCAGAAATTGCTGTTTCCACTCTGCTGTGATCTCTCCTCAAATTCCCAGCAAAATGAGAGTCTATATGTAGAGGTTCACCTGTGCTCACTTCCTCTCTTCTAATCTAATCTATACTTCTGTCAGATTGTGTGTTTTACTGTGTATGCATGTATGGAAATGTGTGTGTGTGTGTGTTCGTTAAAAGAGTTGTAACCTGCTGTCTGTGTTTACCAAAAACTGGTATTATAAACTGACATTTGAATGCAGCACTTAACCTACCATTATAGAATACCTGTTGAGAGAGAAAAGGGCGTTATTGTTATTATTTGCATAACCATTTTTTTTTTATGAAATATTATTTCAAAGGTTCAGTAGTCTTGTATTGCACTGCTCTTAATATTCATTATTTAAGTTGATTTTTAATTGTTTATTTGCTGGCTTTTATTAAACAGTACAATGTAAAAACTCTCAATTTCTTCCGCAGTCTTGTTCGCACACACACTCAAAGCTCATAAAACCTCAGCAGATTGTGATGGAAAGAGAACTGACATATAAATAATAGAAATAATAGGCTTGTACTGGCTCAGTCATTCACCTGCTAATCAATATGAGAAAGGAACTTCATGGCACACTATTCATTCAGAGACAGCAACAAGCTCACTACGTTTTCCCCTCAGAGTGATTATTTTAACTATCGGATGATCTGAGAAAGTCGACGCAGAATTTGAATGGGGTATAGTTAACGCTTTTTCTGTCATAGCAGTTTCGGCTGATACATCACTGATTGCTGCTACAGAATGTTAAAGCTTAACTATGTGTTTATGGATTGCTTTGAAAGCTAGTTAAAGGAATGTGTTGTTAAATGTAAAGTAGATAAGTAAGACTGCTTTCATTTAAGCATTCAGTTCCTCTTTTATATAATACATATATTAATTAATTGTGATGGAACCAGGTAATATGCTGATTTGGTGCTCAAGATACTTTTCCTTTAATTATCAATGTTGAAAATATTTGTGGTGCCTAATTTTATGGAAACCAGATCTTTTTACAGTATTCTTTGATGAATAGAAAGTTCAAAAGAACAGCATTTATTTAAAATGGAATACTTTTTGTAACATTATAAATGCCTTTGCTTGTGACTTGATCAGTTTAATGTGTCCCTGCCGAATAAAGGTATTAATTTAAATAAATAAATAAATCTTACTGACCACAAACGTTTGAACAGTTGTGTATGTGCATCCAATTTTTACAAAATTAGAAAATATTTTGTGATATTAAATGTTTGTTCAATGTTTTGTAGCATATTCCCATATTTATCTTCTCTATAAGAAGACTAAATCTAATTTTGTCCCTCAAAAATCCCCTTCGACAAGCTAGAAGAAATATAGATGCTAACATGCTTAATATTCTTCCTAAATCCATCTCTGTTTGGTTGCTAAAATGTTGGCTAACTGGCAGCAACAGTATATATAGCTTCTCCTGGCTGTCCCATTTGCAACTCGTGTTAGCAAGGGATAAATCTCTTGAGTTATTGCTCCTCTAGGCCTCATGAATCAGTGAGCTCTCTATAGTGAGAATTAAAGTCTTTCTAATGGGCCGAGCTACTGCAACATAATGCCGTTTGCAATCACAATAGCTACCAAGGCTTGATCAAATTTTGCAAAACAAGTCATTGGAGGAAACACAGATATTAGAACCTAATCTGCCACAGGCAATTTGCTAACTTGCTAAAAAAAATTCTTAAAATAGTATTAGATGGTTCTAGCCGATCTAGCTGGTCTCGCAGACTAATATAACAGAGCAGGATCCCACTGAATACATAAACATGATTACGCATTCTCATTTATCTTTCAAAAGTGTGCATTTAATAGCTACAGCTGCATAAAAGGACATTTAGTAAACATGTCAATGGGGAACATTTGTCACAGCCCTGCATTTCCATCAAAGCTTCCATCATGACAGCAGTCACTTACACAAACATAAATGCAGACAGCGTGGTCAATAACGCAACGTTGTTTCCACTGCTTAGGCAATGGACAAATTTGCTCACTGAATACATAAACATGATTACGCATTCTCATTTATCTTTCAAAAGTGTGCATTTAATAGCTACAGCTGCATAAAAGGACATTTAGTAAACATGTCAATGGGGAACATTTGTCACAGCCCTGCATTTCCATCAAAGCTTCCATCATGACAGCAGTCACTTACACAAACAAATGCAGACAGCGTGGTCAATAACGCAACGTTGTTTCCATTGCTTAGGCAATGGACAAATTTGCTCTTGACAGATACAGGATGGAATCAGAAAGAGAAAGGAGGTGTGTTTATTATCGATGATTTATAAAATGACTCTAGCTGGCATTGATTGCACAAAAGAACTGTCCGCATGCAGTCGGAGAGAGTGTTTACGCATCGGGTGGTGCAGTTTGGCATCAAGCCTTTGACAGGTTGCCTCTTATCACTGACATATGGATAAATGTCTTCCACCATTTCATAACTTCTCCCTGTCCAGCCTGCTCACTCACGGCTGCCTTTTAAAGAGCAGCAAAATGTCAGGAATCCCAATCCATAAGCACAAATATATATAGGTGGCATGCAGATTGTTTTGGAGTGCATATGTGGTAATTTATGTTGTAGATGTGACATTGATTGTTTTTTGCATGTCTAATAATGTTCAGGCTTAAATTAGAGGCAAATAGCTAGTCATATTTTGAAGTTTGGGGCAGTCGTAATTGCTTCAGGAACGTAGACTTGATGTTTTTGCACATACAAAGATGCCTGCTTTCATTGAGTCACCATTAAATGGCGCTGAAAATACAGCGCCACATCAAACGTCCACATATTTTGGCCATTGATATGTATATGTGGAGTACAAATGCAATCTGCCAGTTATCCGAAATCGTACACGGCCATCCGAAAGGGACACACCTGAGAACTTTGCACATTTGAGAAGCTTTTCATAGACAGTTGAAGAAACTGCAAACATATTATTTGATAACTCTGAAAATAGGTCTCTCAGGGAAGAGGTGTTTTCATAATCACATCTTGAGGATGTCAGCAGTTGGACAACTAGCAATCGAGAGTTAGGAGTGTATTATTATGTTAACATGGGATTATATCTTTGGCATCACACTAAAATATCTGTCAAAATTAAATGCAATCTGTCATTTCAGTCTCTGTATTTATTTATTTGTTTATTTATGATTCTTATGAAATAGGGCAACCTACCTCTGGTGAGTAGTATAAATATAATTCTAATTGTATTTGTGACATAAATACCAGTTCACAAGCTTTAGAATGTTTCTGCCTTAAATAAAGTAAATAAATAGGTGTATTTACTGTGAATACATTAATATTTTGTAAAATATATTTGTTATATTATTATTTACACATAATTATATAATTTAAAACTGTTGTGAATATGTTTCTTGAATTGGTTGCCATATGAACAATTAGACTAAACAGACTGATGAAAGTCTCCTGAACCTAATAAGTTCGGTTCTTTTCGAATCGGACATAGCCGAAAAATGAATGCCAGTTCAGGGAGGACATGTTTGTTGACTGACTCACTCTAGTCTCGCGTAGCCAGACCTTCAGACTGACGGCTGAAGGTCTGGAATCCATCGCAGCTTTCATTGGCCAAAGCCCGCCTATGAGGCCGTTT